GACCAACAATACTTGCAACAAGAGAAATTACAACAATATGCCCCAGGTATGAAATGGTAACCTTTACTGAGGAATAAATAGTCTGAACTACCGACCACTGGTAAAAACTACAATGCAAGATTGCAACTCCAACATGTTAACTCCGAGGAGAAATGTCACTAAAAAGTGTACTTTGGAGAAGATGCTGTAAAAATAAATTGCAATCCACTAAAAAGAAATCATCTTGACTTCAAACAACTCCTAAATTTATAGGGAGAAGAACCATTCTCCTCCTGCATAGAAATGAGGAATGCTTTGATGGGGAATAAAGATCTTTGAAGAGAAACCCCTTGGTAGACAAAATTTTATCAAGTAACAACGGATCCTTTACTGGGGAAAGGAGTCCTCCTAGGAAACAACATTTCCATCACGAACCTCTTATGGGTAACAATCTCAAACGTTCTTTGTGTTTCTATTCGTATCCTACTGAGGATAACCATCCAAACTTCAAATGGGGATAATGATCCTAACTTCTATTGGAGGAACATCAATAAATGGACTTAAGTCCTTGAAGAGCTTAGGATAACAATCCTAACTTCCTGACATGCTTTTCAAATTCACAAATTGTTTAGCCTTCACATGGACTTGATCTAATAAACCCTTGAGGAGGAGAAAATGCCCCTGCATAATTTCTTGCCCCTGTCTGTAGGGACTTTGAAGAAAATTTCCTCGAGAGGACTTCATGAGATCTATATCATAAAGATAATTTGCCTCAATGTTATGAACTTCAGAACACGACTCGTGGCTAACCAAAGTTGGATATGGTTTCAATCATGCTTGAGCGAATTCTCATGCATCTTCAGATTCTGAAAATATCCTCCTCTAATCAACAGATTCTTGGAGAAATTTGTCAAATCTCGACATAACTGCCCTAGTTTGACTTTACTTTGAGGGATCAAATCCCGACTTGAGTGCCTCAGATTGGCTGAACACTTACTCAACAGAGTATTCAACATGCTTGCCCCTGCTCAATAAAGTCTTTGACAACCTATTTTCTCGCCTCATGCTCATGGAGGAATGAGAAACTCGCGAAGTTATGACGACAACACAACCTTAGGGTGGCTGGCTTACGTCTTAAAAGTAGGTTAGTACACAACCGTGCTTCTAAAATTGAAATGCCTCATGTTTAAGCAAATACTTGAAGCAATACGTCTCTCGGGACCAACTGAAAGTAATGCACCACTGCTAGACAAAGACTCTGGGCAATCAAATTTTGCAATATGCTTCAGATTATTTCTCAAACTGGTATTATTTTACTGAACAAAGTCAATAGAAGGTCTTCCCCAGATTAAGGTTATTCTCAAAAATGATTTACCCCTCAACGGTATCCTGAAGCAATTTGTCCCTTGAGATAATCAAACTTCCATATGATGCTCATTATGCAAACTCACTTGATGTTTAAGCACTTATTCATATGCAAAGAATGTTTATTCTAAGAATGATAATTCTAATGCAAAGCTCATGTTTGTCTTGAAGTTTAAAAACTTTTTTTGAAAAGATTAAACATAAAAAAAATTATGTGAAAGAAAGTAAAAAGATGGAGTGATACCAACTCGAAAGTTTTAGCAAGCCTCCTAGGAGTTAGATTAGCGTATTCTCATTATAGTGCGCTTTTAAATTAACCCATACTTCAATTAGGACTTTTAATGGTTGTAGCATGGCCTGATTCACAATTTTTAGGAAAAAAAGGATTTAAGGCTCAAAATGTTTGGTGCCTACCCATTCTCCATGATATTCTCCAGTCCTACATTCAGTTAACTCGATACAAGCACTCATCTTTTGAGAAGAGTTTACAATAATTGAGGAACCACTAAGGTTTCTTGGACATGACAATCATTCACCTCTTTCATTTTTGGTGTCTGATCGCACAACTTGGTTCTTTGCTGAGGATTTTTATTTGGTAATTCCATTTCTCTTTTCGTGCTTTTCACTTTCCCTAAATTTTTCCTGGACAAGTTCCTTTTAAATTTGACTCTAAAGTCCAGAAGGATGCCCTAACTTTTGCCTATGTGACTTGTTTTCAAGTTTCAACTTAGCGGGACTTTTTGTCTCTTTCTTTCATCATTTCCTTTTCTTTCCTTTTGAACAAGTCATTGATCTTCATGTCGTCTTTGATTTGTTGGAAGTGATTGTAACTGCCCGAGTCCTTGGTAGATGAGGGATAACCAGTGTGGTATCGTCATTTGTTGACCTTATGATGTGCGAGAGATAACCATTGTAGTATCATCCTTTTTTTGATGCACACTGCTGATAGGCGAAGATTAACCATTGCAGTTTTGACTTTTCTCAACCTTTTGAAGGATAACCATTATTGTATCCTTAGATGCGCACTCTTGATGAGTTTTAAACGCTCAATCAGATTAACTGAAATCTACCCTACCTCGGGTTAAACGTGAGGGTTTTTTCTGACAAGAAAGGAAACTCCTACTTTAAGGCTCAAAGGGGTTGACGAGGGTCTATCTTCCTTATATCTTCGGTGTTTAGGAATTGAGACAAGGCATGTACATCGTCAGCGGTAATATTGGTCATGGATTTGATCCCCAACAACTGAATTTTTTTATTTTATTTTCAGAACTGTGCTACTTTTTACCTCAATTTTTAATAAAAACCGAGGGGTAAAGTCTTGTTAAAAATTTTTAAAAATAAAAAAAATGATAAAGTGTAGTTGTTGGGATTCGAAGACGCGTTCTCTAAATACATTTCCCCTCGGTTTCCAGCAAAAATGAGGGAATATATATTATTAAAAAAAATTAAAATGTGACGCGTCCATGGTTTATACTTCAAATTTTTATTAGGTGAGGTGAAATGTTCCATCATAAAATATATTATTTGTTGTAGTGAGTGTATCCTATGAACCTCTGTTTTACTCTTATCCCACATCACATATATTCTGCCATTCTCACGGTGTGTGTAGTTATTCCAATATGACCAATTATGTCCCAATTTATTCCTTATAGACTAAACTTTACCTTGCTTTACTCTAGTTTCAACAAGAACTGTTATGACTGGCTTTAAAGTTTGGAGTTTTTGCTTCACCTACTTATTTCTCTCTTTGTTTATTTCTCTCACATTCCAGGAAATAATCATGGATTCAGATTTAAAGTCACTAAGGGATCACTCAAAATCCTTAATGGTGTAAATCCATTTTTACAATGTAGGTGATCTTTTTGCTAGAGCCTTATTCCATGTGATTCTTCCCTTTGTCTTTTTTGTGTTTTCCCACTATAGTCTAATGGTTATTGTCCATAGGTTGCTCCTATGCAGTGGGGATCCCCTCAACTTTGTTTTCGAGCTCCTCATGACTTTGTTTGTTATCCATTTCTTCTCCACAAGTTGTTTAGGTGGGGCCTTCTTGCATTTATGTCCAATTCTCTGGCAGATCTCACAGTACAATGGTTTCCATTCAAACTTTACTGGCTGTTTAATTCTTCTTCCCTCACTATCCTTTATATTGATGGTTTCAACCATGTTTTGAGTAATGTCGACCTCCACAAGAAATCTAGCATAAGATACTTTGAGTTTGCTAGTCGTGCACTCATATATGAAGAGAGGTTTACCTAAGGCACTTTCAATTTTGCTCAAGATTTTTGGTACTTAAAGGTGTAATGGTAACTGAGGCAATTTGACCTAGACATGCATTGTTCTTAACATATCTCTCTTCAAAAATCCTGATGCCATATTTTTAGGAGCATTGACATATTTTAAATGGTATATGGACCTTTCATTAATACCCTGTTCTTATAATCACTAGTAGTGAATTTGAGGATGAAGTAACCTTCCTCATTGTAAAACATGTGAGATAACTTCACAAAATCCCAAAATTGCATCATGAATTATTTTATGGCATTCATGCTCAAATCTCTGCCTAAAACATACAAAATCAAAGGGTTCCCATAATAGTACCTCAGATTCCACAACTTCATCAGCAATTTCAATTTCAATTTCACCATCTATAATTGATGGTGCAGTGTATTCAATTGCCATACCATTTTCTTGTACCCTGTTGTCACTAATAACATCCACACACAGCTTATGTGATGCATCTTCCACCGTCTCATTGATATGAATTTGCAATTTAGGATTTTTATTCGCGATTGTTGAAATCTCTTGTGGATTACTATTCTCCGCTTTGGGTTCAATCTCGACCTTCTTCTCTGAATCTTTCTGAATCTCATTTGCATCTGATTATGTTGTTACCGTTCGTGCTACCAGTGACGGAGACACCGATTTTCGCAGTCGCCCTCGCCCTTTAAAATTCATCGTTTCAAAGTTCTATATTTTATGAATATTATTTAAATAAATTTTTTATTTTTTAAACAAAATAATATTATTAAAATGAGTGGGGTGCAACCTACTCCAATAATATTTTTTTTAAACTTATTCTAAATTATAGTCTTTTAATTTAATTTAATTTAATTGTTAACATTTTATAATTAATATTTTTATTTAATTAATTATTCGATTAAATATAATTTAAAAAGAAAAAAATTGATGCATTGACAATGTAAAATAGTTTTACAATGTCAACCAATCACAACCATGTATCTAATTAAAACACACTTTTATTTTTAAAAAAATAATAAATTATTTATTTTTTATTAGATGACAATATAAAATTATTTTATAATTCAGCTCATATTAATTAAACTCATTTAAAAACTATAATTTAGACTAATATTCTTGAAATAAGTTAAACTTCATTTATTAAAAATTATTTTAAGAACTTGAAACAATCTAAATAAAAAAAGAAAAGAAAAACACAGCACTAGTTTAAACCTCGGTATGATAATGAAGCAAACAGAAACCCTAAACCCTACCAATATGCATTCGTCGATTCACTCATTCATCTTCACCGTTCCATTCAATCACAATAATCAAACTTTGTAATGTGCCGCCAATTCCAATCCCAATCTTCTCAATATGAAGAATCAAATTCCAGTTGAATCTGTTTTGACCAAACCATGTTGCATTTTGCGCGCAACCTCTTCCACATCACTGGTGTTCGAGTAAGCTCTTTCTATTCACCTTTTCATCCAAACCCATTTCCAATTTCCTTCACCCTAGCATCCCCATCTTCTCAAAATTCAATTTTTGGTTCTCCCATGATTTTGTTTACTAGCTTCTTTTGTGTTGTTAAATACCCTTTTACCTCAAAACCTACATTTGATGACACTGTCTCAGAATCAGTGTCTAGTTTATTACAGAATGATGGTGCCCACCACGTGTTTGATTCCGCGCTTGCACCCATTCGGGTGTCTAAGGTTTTGGTGAATTTGAAAGGGGACCCAGAGTCTGCATTGAGATTCTTCCGTAGTGCAGGGAATCAAGTTGGGTTTCGCCACACCACTGAGTCTTATTGTATTCTTGTTCATATTTTGTTCTGTGGGATGTTTTATTTTGATGCGAAGAATGTTATTAAAGAGTGGATTTTGTTGAGGGAGATTCCGGGTTGTGATTGGTTTGATATGTTGTGGTTTACTAGGAATGTGTGTAGGACAGGGTTTGGGGTGTTTGATGCTTTGTTTGGTGTTTTGGTTGAGTTGGGGATGCTTGAAGAAGCTAGGCAATGTTTTGGGAAGATGAATAAGTTCAGGGTTCTGCCGAAAGTGCGGTCCTGTAATGAGCTTCTCCACAAGCTTTCGAAATCAAGGCAAGGGAAATTGTCCTTGAGTTTTTTCAATGAGATGGTTGGGGCTGGCCTTTCGCCCTCAGTTTTCACGTATAATATAATGATAGGCTATTTGACGAAAGAAGGGGAGTTAGAAACTGCTAGGAGTTTGTTTGAACGGATGAAACGTACGGGCCTTAAGCCGGATGTGGTCACTTATAATTCTCTCATTGATGGGTATGGAAAGGTGGGATTATTGAGCGAAGCAGTTTTTGTTTATGAGGAAATGAAGGATGCTGGATGTGAACCAGATGTGATAACATACAATTCTTTAATCAATTGTTTCTGTAAATTTGAAAGACTTCCTCAAGCTTTTCAGTATCTGCACGAGATGAAGGAAAGAGGGTTGAAGCCAAATGTTGTTACTTACAGTACTATGATAGATGCGTTTTGCAAGTCAGGCATGATGCTGGAAGCGATTAAATTTTTTGTAGACATGATACGTGTTGGTCTTCAACCCAATGAGTTTACATATACGTCTCTAATTGATGCAAATTGTAAAATAGGTGATCTGAATGAAGCATTTAAACTGGCAAATGAGATGTTGCAGGCTGGTCTTAACTTAAATGTTGTCACGTATACTGCATTACTCGACGGTCTTTGTGAGGATGGTAGAATGAAAGAGGCGGACAAACTATTCAGGGCATTGTCAGAAGCTGGAGTAGCTCTTAATCTGCAAATTTATACTTCTCTTATTCATGGATATGTCAAAGCTAAGATGGTAGAGAAGTCTATGGATATTTTAGAGGAAATAAACAAGAAAAACTTCAAACTAGATTCGCCGCTGTACGGAACCAAAATATGGGGCCTTTGTAGCCAAAATAAAATACAAGAATCTGAGACTGTGATACGGGAGATGAAGGATTGTGGTTTGACGGCAAACAGTTATATATACACATCACTTATGGATGCATATCTTAAGGTTGGAAAAATCACAGAGGTTGTTAATCTATTACAAGAGATGCAGGAATTAGGTATTGAGATAACGGTTGTGACCTATGGTGTGTTAATTGATGGTTTGTGCAAAAAAGGTTTAGTTCAACAGGCTGTCAGTTACTTTGAACACATGACCAAAACTGGTTTGCAACCTAATATTATGACTTATACTGCACTGATTGATGGCCTTTATAAAAATGATTGTGTTGAAACAGCTAATAAGCTGTTCAATGAAATGCTGGATAAGGGAATCAGGCCAGATAAGTTAGTTTATACTGCTTTGATCAATGGGAACCTTAAGCACGGTAATCCTGAAGAAGCTTTGAGTTTGCGACATAGAATGATTGAATCGGGTATGGAGCTTGATCTGCATGCTTATACTTCATTGATTTGGGGTTTGGCGCATTGCAGTAAAGTACAACAAGCGAAGTCATTTTTTTATGAGATGCTCAGAGAGGGCATCACTCCTGATCTGATTCTCTGTATTAGTCTTCTCAAAAAATGTTATGAACTTGGAGACATATACGAAGCCCAGGAACTTCATAATGATATGATAAGGAGGGGACTAGTTGCTGAGACAATGGACATAAGAGTTCCCTCTAAACACACTTGAGAAGGAAAACCTATTTTGCACACTTGGTTTGGTTCACTTATTTTTATGGCACAAAATGTTAAATTCTTTCATTTTTTTTTTGCCAAAGTCAGTATTCCTAACTGAAATGAATATGACGCGTCATTATTAATTGATGCATTCTCAAGGCGTTTGTTTTCTCCTGATGTAAATCCTGCCACTTCAAGAGCGTGCCTTTCAATATTCATGTTTCTTATGTGGTCATCAAGACAACAATAAAATAATGTGGTTCGAAGAAGTCTTGATTTCCTTTAGTCAGTGGTGTTCAATTTGGATGATATTGCCAATCACAATGCTCATATTTTATAGGTATAACAATTGGATACTCTTGTTTATACACATATTTCTCTTTTTTCCTTAGTCATATATTTGATGTGATCTGTCTTATAGTCTTTGTCCCTTTCGTTACAGCGCATTTACTTCAATACCTGGCTGTGTTACATAATTCCTCAAGCTTGGTGCTTCCCAACCAAGGACTGATTCTCACTCAAAAACAAATCCTTGTTATGGTAGATGATACTTTCTTGCTGTTCTATTAATTGTAATAATTTCAACTCATACAACTTTAGTAGTGATCTCGAGTCTCTATTAGACTCGGGCCTTATACAAAACTTTCTCTGCGTAGGACGAGCATGAGGCAACACGGTTCCTCCATCATTTGATGGAAATGAAGCTATGTGTGGCTAATCAACACATATCAGTAGTATTTTGGGGGCATTGGTGGATCGACCACTTTCTTGGAAAGCAAGCAACCTAAATGTGAACTCTTCTATGCAATCTTAGTAGTTGAGGTGTAGTTTCAAAACATTTGTATTACATGAAGAGGAGAGTTGCTTGTAAAGTTTTGATATACTATTAGACTATGGGAGTCCACTGGAATTTGCGAGGGTTGTCAGTTGAGGGAGATATTGATTAGTTAGTTAGTTAGGCTTAGTTAGAGCTGGGTTATGTTGTATGTAAATTTTTGTTACACATCATTGTGGTTCTTTCTATACAGTTTACAATGTAATAATCAGTACAATAAATTTTTTTCCAGTTGGTTCATAAATATTCAAAGCAATTGTTTTTTTTTTGCCATTGTTAGCATTCATTTCTTCTTAGTTTATATTGTTGTGCTTGTTTCTGCTTATTTTCTTTAAGCTGTGTTATGAGTTGCAAGCAGTTTTACTCTGCTCATGTAGTTAGTGCTTGTTTGGTATGACAGGTGATTAGTTATGAATTTATTATGCACTTATAACATGTTTGGAGTGGCGGCGGAGTATCCAAAATCACGACAAGTTATCACGTTCATGTGGAAGCTGCAATTTGTCGCTTCTGGTTTTCACGGTAGATTATCTTTCAAATGTGCGTTTGGTCATTCCAACCTTATATCCGAACAGACCTTTAGATTAGTTATGAAATTTCCCAATTTAATCATAAATAAGTTACATGACACTAAATTAACAAAATCACGGCAAGTCATCACGTTCATGTAGAAGCTGCAATTTGTCGCTTCTGGTTTTCACGGCAAGTTATCTTCAAACGTGCGTTTGGCCATTCCAAACTCATATTCAAACAGGCCTTTAGATTAGTTATGAAGATTTAACCATAAATAAGTTACACGACACTAAATTAACAAAATCACGGCAAGTTATCACGTTCATGTAGAAGCTGCAATTTGTTGTTTCTAGCTTTCACGGTAGATTATCTTTCAAACATGCGTTTGGCCATTCCAAACTCATGGCCTTTAGTTAGTTATGAAAATTCTCAATTTAACTATAAATAAGTTACATGACATTAAATTAACAAAATCACGACAAGTTATCACGTTCATGTAGAAACTGCAATTTGTCGCTTCTGGTTTTCATGGTATATTATCTTTCAAATGTGTGTTTGGCCATTCCAAATTCATATCCAAACAGGCCTTTAGATTAGTTATGAAATTTCTCGATTTAACCATAAATAAGTTACACGACACTAAATTAACAAAATCATGGCAAGTTATCACGCTCATGTAGAAGCGGCAATTTGTCGCTTCTGATTTTCACGGTTTATTATTTTTCAAACGTGTGTTTGACCATTCTAAACTCATATCCAAACAGGCCTTTAGATTAGTTATGAAATTTATCGATTTAATCATAAATAAGTTAGTTAACACTAAATTAGAGTACATGTAATCATCATGGAAAGAAATGGCAGGGTACAGCTTTTGAATATATTTTTGTCAGTTGAAATAAGTTGAGCCCATAAAACCTCCCATATTCAATCTCCACCTACAGTTTTTTAGACAGTGACACAACCATTTGCAAGTGCAGTGCAGAACTTAGCAACGGTATCCAAATAAAAATAGGACCACATGAAATTAAAGAGAGAGGTGGATGAATCCAAAGGAAAAAAGTAGCAGAAAGTGAAGATTCATAATGATAGTTTGTGAAGAATATAAGAAAAACATGATTGAGGGTGAGAATAGTAGGTGAAATGATTGGTGGTGACAAGTAATAAAAGAGATAGGAAGAGACTAGACTTAATTGATTGTGGCGGTGGTGTTAACAACAACCATAACAATGGCAAGAGAATGAGTAGTATGATAACGATAGCTCAGTTTGATAATGGTGGGTGGGGATACTATCAACTGTTCCGTTAGTCGACATGATAGTGATGTGATAGTAATAATGACTAGGAAGATCTAACTGAAATTCTGGTAGAAGAAGGTTTTTTTTTGTTTTGGCTTTCGTATGTATTTTCCGTATTTTCGTTCTTTAACAAAAGCTCATTTACTATTTAAGCCCAAGTATTTGATTAGAAGAAGATATTTTAATTCCATAAAAGACTCGACTGGTGTAGATAGAAAAGAAAAGTGATCGAAAATAAAATTCTAAAATTATTATTTTTAATAAACCATGAACTGGATTAATCATCTTATCAGCTTAATTGACCATATCTTTTTAATTAATAACTGAATTAACAATATTTTCTCAACTAGAAAACAATATACTTGTATCATTGTTCAAAATCATGTATTTTTAATTTCGGAAGGGATTGTTAACCATATTTTTTCAAGTAACAACTGAATTAACCGCATTTATTCACCTAAAAAAATAGTGTACTAGCACTTCATGAATGCACCCTACAATTTTTAAAAAATCTAATTGTCCAGCTTGGTTGAATGTTTGTCAAGAATAATTCTAACTTTATAGTTCCAACTAGGTAGATATGAATAAACATAGGATTAGTTCTAACTTTATTCTAAAACTCATTAAGTTACTAACTAATTTCTTAGCCAAAATTGAGAATGCTGGAACATAACATATTATACTGATCTGATTGCTTATGTCAATAGTGGTAAAGGGACTCCAATATCTAAACCTTGTCAAGATATTGAGACTTGTTTGCTATGTTTGATGAAAATCAAAATTCTGGTGCAAAATCTGAAAAATACTATGGTCTTTTCAATCCTGACCAAATCACCTATATATCAAATATGGTAGTTTAAAAATTACATATATTGAAGTCTAATTTATTTTGAGTTATTCTGTTATTTATGCACATGTTTGATATGTTTACTTGAATTGAATTAATGAAAGTTGATATATTTCTTCTCTGTGTCCACATAATTGTTAGTGATTAGGAATTTGTGTCCACATAATTGTTAGTGATTAGGAATTTGTGTCCACCACTGGATAGATCTAATAAAAATTTGTGCTTAAGTTTAGATTTTTTCTTTTAAATTTCTATTAAATAAATTTCTAAAACATCTTAATTAAAATAATAATTAATTAATTAATTCTATAAAAAAATAAAAAATAATCCTACTCATCAGTGCATCAGTGCTACATCATCAAAAATATATTTTTGGTCCAATCTTATTAAAAATTAAAAATCATCAAAACTAGAGAAATCAAAATTGCTTTTAAGCCAAAATTCTATCATTCAATAAAATCTGCTTAAATATGAAAAAATGGTCCTAATACTATGAAAATGTAGGCCAAATGGTAAACGTACAAGAAATGTATTAACAATGTCTAATTATGTTCAAATTTAAAAATTTATATAATCTGTTATACATCTGCATTCTGATGTTTTGCTTACAGAAAATGTGGTAGCTAGCCAATACTGGAAAACAGCTTTTAGAAAAAAGCAAAACCTTTTTGACATACTTCGAACTACAAAATATTTCCCATGTCCAGCACAGATTGAAGTAAAAATTAATCCATGTTCAAGTTTTGTTTTTTGCGAGATGTTAAAGTTCCATTCATTACAATTAAAGTTGAATAAATAAAATTTAGAAGTAAAAAAAAGAAGAACCAAACCAAATCTGGACATAATTTGAGTTAATAGTCTTGTACAGCATCTTCTTCCAATTGAATCTTCAATCCCTTCATAACTTGTAAACTTAATGGCTCGCCAGTTAACCACACATCACTGTCCCATGTGGTTAATTAGTATAACTATGGTCAGTAAGTAGTTACAAAAGCAGCAAAAAGCTCAAAATGTAAATATTTTCAGGCTTTCAACTTCTTGAAGTTCTGTATTCACAAAGCTGGCACAAATGCAAACCCAGGTTGATTTTATCTACAATGATTTGCACAGGCTACACATTTCAAGTCAAAATTGCACTCTATCCTAAACACATTTCTAAAAACGTAAGAAAACTATGTAAAAACTAGCCATATAGTTACAAAAATGAATACATCTGTGGTCAGAAGAATGACAGAGGGCAAATCCCAAAATGGCGATGGACTATTTAGGCCTGTACAAATCTGTCATGTTCCTAGCCTCTTTGAACCACATTCGGAGCAAAACTTGGACGTTTCCCTCAAATATGGAGCCCCGCATTCGTCGCAAAACTTTGCAGGACTTGGTGGCTGTGCAGCATCATACGATCACCATAAGATAAATAAGTTATATGAAATATCAAACATTATAGAAATATTCAATCAGTGCCAAATGCCGATATATCAGACTGCTATAATAATTAAACATAAGGCCAAACTCAATGACCCTTCGTAATAGTAAGCAGATATGAGAAATACAAGACAAATATTTACTTTCTGAGCTATGTCTAAATATTGAAAAAGTTGAGTATTAGCCCAGCATGCGCAATTAGAGAAATGACATAGTTTCCAATTGAATATCAAAAACAATATCCTCGTTCTATTAAAAAGTTCCATAATCCACATTATTATCCAATAAACTCACCAGCATGTGCATGCGTCCTCCAACATGGCCACCTGTGAATGATTGTAAGCAATTCATGTGTTGAGATATTGATGGCTGGTGAGAATGAGAAATTCCAGATAGGTGTGAAGGGGAACCATTTTGATGGTTATGAGAATAGGGCCCTGCATGCTGACTTTGGTGCATAATTTGATTGCTCTGGAGAACAGGGTGAAACTGAGGTTGATGTGGCACTGATTGCAAGTGATGTTTGTTTGGGGTTTGCGGCTGATTTTGTGCCTGGGAAATAAAGTCCCACATCATTATTAAAATATTGTTAGAACTTAGAAGTAAAAGTTTAAACAAGTCCGAAGCAAACAATCAAGGGACATGAAAATAGGATGAACAAACTCAATTTCCATAAAATCTTGGAGAGAAAACAAAAAGTTAAGATCCAGAGCTCAATTATAATTTAATTGTCATTTTTTATAACCAAGGAGTGACATCATTACTCCAAGGACATCTGAGCCAATTTCATCATTGAGTTTAGCTGCATTTCTGCTGTTCACACCCAAAAGTTATACCGGAGTGACAAAAACAGCACTCACCCTCATGACAAACTGTTGGACTTTCCGCCTTAATTACGCCACTTTGGCTTGCTTCATTGCAGCCCCCAACACTTTCATTGTGTTGGCTTTGAAGGGGTGGATTTAGTCTCACATTGCTTAGAAATATGATCTGTGTTGTGTTTATAAGTGGGGGCAATCCTCACCCTACAAGTCGGTTTTATAGGGATGAGTTAGACCCAACCCAAATTCTGAGATGGTATCAAAGCCTATCCTAGATCCATTGTTGGCTTGCCTCATTCTAGACCCATTGTTGGCTTGCCTCATTGTCAGCCCTCAACACCTTCATTGTGTTGGCTTTGAAGTGGTGGATTTAGTCCCACATTACTTAGAGATATGGCATGTGTTGTGTTTATAAGTGGGAGCAACCCTCACCCTACAAGCTGATTTAATAGGGATGAATTAGGCCCGACCCAAATTTTGAGTTGGTATCAGAGCCTATCCTAGATCCATTGTTGGCTTGCCTCATTTTGTGTTTATAAGTGGGGGCAATCCTCACCCTACAAGCCGGTTTTGTAGAGATGAGTTAGGCCCAACTCAAATTCGGAAACAAACAAAGACAATTATATATATCAAGTATATATTACTTACTGAGCGAAATCCTTGAGTGCTAGTCATTGTCGTAGAACTTTCTGCTCCGGAATAACTCTGTAAAACCAAGTCAAAAGTCAACACCAAAGTTTTTGGAAATAAGGAACTGCAGCAATTACCAATTGTGCAACCTTCCAACAGTATTACTATCCCATTTAGTTTAATATATCATGACATATTGATCATTATATTTTGCGGCCAAAGCACATAATATTTGCAACAACTGCATGCTAGTAAAACATTTCAATACCAAAAAAACTAAGAAGTTACAGTTTAGACATCGCATGCAAAACTGCAGTAGCTCATGTATTGTGCATAAAAAAAAGCAGCACTTAATTTTCCAAAATGAGGCACATCATGCTTACAGGGATATCTTGGATATTTGGAAGTGAAATTGATGTGCCACGCCTATACTTGTGTCGTGGAGAGTAAAATTTGTAATCGTTAGGTGAGATTGCTACTTCATTCCGACCTGTCAATCGTTTAAACCTAAGACAAAAAACAAAGCAAGTGAGACCAGGCCTGAAGTCCTTGCTAATTTCAAATAAATGCTCAATCTCGTAAGAGCCGATTTTGTTATTACTCTCAATTGTAGCTTGAGAATATAATAATCTTTGTTAAAAAGGAACAGACAATCTTAGCATCAGTTCAATTAAAATTGACATAGTAAAATACTGGTAAAGCACAGAACTACAGATAAAATACAAGTCATATTTCATAGATAATACATTATGATATAGCAAAAAATTAACAAAGAGAAAACAGTAACATTATCAATTTCCAATCTCTACAAACAATAAAAAACTGAAACAAAGAAGATCCACAAAATTCAAATAAAATAAAAAAGGAAAAAATATCTATTTGATGGAGCTATAAAGAAAATGCTAATCGGGCATATAGGCATGTATAGTTTAGGAAATAAGAATTAACAGACTAATTGCAAGTATACCAGCAATATCAGCAAAAGGAACTTAGTGATAACTGAATAGACTAGAGTGAATACTTAGGATTATGAAAGCCACAGAAGTAAATCCTTCTGGGAATTTATTATTTGCTTAAGAGGGAACTCAGTGGATGGAGAGAACTCATCTTGAAACAATAGAAATGTAAAGGCTAACTGAATGATAATAATCCCACCGTGGGAGTATCCTCTACTGAGTGGAGAGTGGCTCTCATTTCTCAACCCCAATTTCCATTCCAAAACCAATCTCCTTTCCCCAGGACTCAATTCCGTTATATGCACCTTTTCCGCTCTCTCCGTACTGATTCTCTTAAATCCCTGTACAGATAGTTACTCTCCCTCTCAATTAATCATTTTTCTCATCATCTCTTGCCATATGTCCCTCTTGCATATCCACTCCCTCTTTTTCGTTATCCTTTCTACCCTTCTTTTTACACAAATTTAAGAGGCCTATCAACAATCTCGCCCACATTACCTTGTCCTCAATGTGAAAATCAGTGAAAACTTGAGTCCCCGCTAGAATCCTTCCATGTTTTTTCATCTTCAGGCAATCCTTACCACACAATCAGTACCTGTTCAGTCCCATTCACTAGTCTCTTCACTCCCAACACTTCACTGGTAACAGCTGCACAGCAAAATTAGTCCCTAATGGTTTTTCTTAAGTTGAGATACATGGAACACGGTGTGAGTTGGGTGGTAATGCCAACTTATAGGCTACATTGTCAATCTTCTCTAAGACCTCAAATGGCCCATAAAACCTTGGAGTCAGCTTCTCATAGGATTGTATGGTTAGACTTGAACCTAATGGTTGTGCCTCAAATACACCTTATCATCAATCTCGTAGGTCACAGCTTCCCCTTCTTCTTATCAATCCATTGCTTCATGTTATTATGCACCCGGCTCAGCTGCTCCTTCAATTCTCCCAGCACAACCTCTCTTTCCCGTAGGAGTTCATCACTAAAAAATAAAAATTGCCCCCCTTGCTGTATATGGATGACTCAAGACGATATAATGAGCATCCTTGTTTAACTCTCCTAATAATCACCTTTTTCCCTTCTACCATTACCCACAACACATGATCTCTTAAATCTAGTTCAATTTTTCCAAAACATTCCAACCATTCATACCCCAACACCGCATTCGCTCCTCTTAAATAATACAGATAAAGGTCTCAATTACCTTTTAATTTGGTAACACAAACTCTACCACTTTCTGAGAAACGAAATTGGGAGATGCGATTGAATCTACTAATACTATCACCTTCCTCCTCATTCTCCCTCCACAACATCAATGATTTTTGAGGTTATACAAACCACACTCCCCATTTGTAGTTGCAAGGCTTGCTGTCTTGGGTTCTGCAACTCCACTCCAACTTCAATGTCGTCGGCGAAAAAGCCTTGTTGGAGCGAAAGCACGGCCCTCTGCATTGTTTCTCCTCCTATTCCGTCTCCGACAACCGCCAAAACGTAGAACTATGGCAATTTTCCTAGACTGCTTTCATATGTTGAAGTTGAACCACCAAACGAAACTCCCACGCGATTTGGGTTGACCCACCGACACAGTCTTGGATCCTTGCGCTCCATTACTCGTTCAACTTGGTCCTCCACTTATAAATCCCTAACTCGCCCGGTCCCATTCACTTAGAGCGGGCCAATTATCACTTGACCCACGGGCCACGGCCAATCTTTTGGGATGGCCCATCTCTTTCTCGGTCCAACACTATTTTTCTCCCCAACCTTCTTTGCCAACTTCATTATATGGCCCAAATCACCTGTACCATGCAATCACGCTTCAGCACTAAACAAATCTTTAGCCCATTCATATAAGCCCCTACAACATTTCTTCATTTGTGTGACGTAGAGTTGACATGAGCTCAAATTGTTTAATATATCTACGACGAACTCAATTTCAGACGTTGCATCTTGGAAACATGCCAACGACATTCTACGCAATGAAATCCAAGAAATGTGCTCAGTTCGAATCTCCCGCCATTGAAACCAATTGAGAGCCTTTCCTTTGAAACAAATTGAAGCAGTAAGCACCTTTTTTCATCTAGAATTTGATTAATCTCAAAATACCTTCCAGCTCGATAGAACCAACCATATGGATCATCACCCAAAAAAATATGTCACCTTCAACTGCCAGATTTGCCCCTCTTGTAAATCTAATTTTGTTCTCGCTTCTGAAGGTTGACGTGTCCACCATCATTTCCCGGAATTACAACACATAACTTTGTGAACCAGATGATGATTCTCCTAATGCAACTCTTCTATTTGCTTCTCCAAACTATCAATTTTGTCCATTCTTGTCTATACCACAAGCGTCGAGGATCGACATATTTGATACTAAATAATAGGACTAAATTTAGGGGTAACTGAATAGACTAGAATGAACACAAGGGATTATGGAAGCCACAGAAGTAGATATGTATGGGAAAGCATTATTTGCATAAGAGAGAATAATGGAGAGAATTCTCCAGGCAACAATGGAAATGTAAAGGCTAACTAAATGATTACCCATTGTGGGAATATCCTCTACTGAGTGGAGAATGGCTCTCCCTCCTCATTCTGAATTTCCACTCCAAAACCAACCTTCTTTCGTCATGACTCAATTTCGTAAGATGCACATTCCCCTCTATCTCCTTACTGATTCTCTCAAATCCCATCACTTCGAAATTGGCACCTATACAGTTATCACTCTCCCTCTTTATTTATCATTCTTCTTCTCATTTCTTGCTAATTGTCCCTCTTGCACGTCCACTCCCTATTTTTATTCTACCTTTCTACCCTTCCTTTTATATACATATTTAAGAGGCCTACCATAAAACATATTAATAAACAAAAAGATAAACCTTACCAAATAAAAAAAGGCCAACAAAATTTAAAGAATATTTAAGTAAAAGAAAGAAAAAAACACTACAACACTCAACTCACCACTCAGCATCATCAATAGGCACTGAATTTGGATTTTCAACAATTTTTAATCCATTAACTACCACAAAGCGAATACGCTTCTCTTCTTGTATAACTAGTTCCGGAAATCTAGTTCTCGTCTCCATTGAAGTTGCTAATTCTCTTCTCTTATATATACACGATCCTGTTGAGGAACAACACAAAAGACATTAAATGTTACAACCAATGCATCATATGACCAAAAACAATGAAACATTAAATACACAACAGAAAAATTCCTCTCTCAGCACTAACTAAGTAAATAGCTAAAAGCAAAAGAAGCAAGGGAAATCTAATCTACATGAACATAGAAAGGATATGTTAAAAACCTTTTTTAGGAAATTTCTTGGCGAGTGTTCTATACAAACCACCAGCAGCTTCAAGAGCAACACCAATAGACTTATCGCGAATACCACTCAAGGAAGCAAGTCTAATATTAACTTCATTAACTAAAGTCTCATACATATTTGCTACATACATTAAAGGCAGAGCAAAATTCGGGTCTCCTTCATATCGAATCTCTCTAGTCCTTCTCTTGTTCATCTTGTCTTGATCACCATAATCAGCATCAGAATCAAACACCTCAATCAGACTATCATCGATAAAATGATCCATCACAATTTGAATAAACCTCGCCCTAGCTGATTCAATCGGCGAAACATCTACTTCTCAAATTCAACAACAAAATTCAATTAACCACAATTCAATTTACCACAATCAGAACTAGATATTACAGAATATTACCGTCAACGGTTATGATATCATAAAGTTCTCTAGAAGATTCGCTTGTTTCGAGACTGGACCGATCTTCGTCGACTTCTACACTGTGTAGTGGTAAACAGTTCCTGTGGGATTCATTCATGCAATCCTAGAAATAGGATTGAAAAAAAATCACTCACCGGAAAAATAAAAATGTTAGTAAATATTAATTAATAAATGAATGCGGTGGGGTCCACTTACGACGGAGGCATCGTGGTCGTTGGAAGCGGAGATGTCGTCGATGGCGGAGGCGGCGGTTCTAGCGTCGACGGTGTTGAGGACGTGGAGAGGGCTGTCGATGAAGGAAGTGGGAGAGTTGAGATTGTAGTGTTGCTGTACCGGAACCCTAGCGCTCATTTTTTTGTTGTTGAAAATTTCGGTGGTTCGGAAATTAGGTTCGGAGATGGTTTGGGGGGTTAACGGATATCCGGACTTAGGTTAAGAGATGGGAAGGGGAGAGAGTGTAGAGTCCAAACCTGAGGTTTCTGGTGCTCAAAGCAGTATCCAAACCTCAACAACTTTCCGCACCACTTACCACAGCTACCCATTGACTATTTGTATCTCTTTTATTTTTTTTATTTTTTTTTATAACCTTTATTTTTCTTCTTTGAACTATTTTATGGTTTAATTAGCATCTCAAAGAGCCTGTTTGTTTAATTTTTTTTCAAAAAAAAAGAGCTTTTTTTATATATATAAAATAATTTTTGAAAACTAAAGTATAGTTAAAATTATAATTTTTTAAGTTATTTAAATTTAGTAATTTTTTGAAATTTTTAATATTAAAAATAATTATATTAAAAAGATAAAATATCATAACATTTTAGAATAATCATTTAAAACAATTTTTAAGTTTTAAGTTTTTTTTTTAATTGTAAATTTTTTTAAATAAAAACATATAACACTATAAAAATAATTAAAAAAAAAAAACTAAAACAATCAAAATCTAAAATTATGCTTTAAAAAAAAGGACTTATTTATACCGTCAAAGCTTCTTATCCCTTCGATTTGATATTGAAAAAAGTGTGGCTTTAATAGATTTTAGTAGCCATTAAACATTCATAACGGACTTTATTAATTATATGTAACATGTTCATGATCCCTCTTTGTTGAATGTTCGAGACTACAGACGTATCGTCAGCCACTCACCTACTCTAATTAATAGATAAGATCAATGGCGTCGTCTGTAGGAAATCTGTTTCCCCATTTTTTCTTTCTCTGAAACCAAAAGATCAAAATAAAAAATCTCAAAAACCAATCATGGCCGATCAAGACGACGACAATATCGGCAGCCACGAAACCATCATTTCTCCCGTTCGTAATCCAAACAACGATAATGAGATGCCATTTTTGGAGGAAGGCACTCCGTTGAGGAGAGACGAACACATTATTTCCCCCTCATCCAACGATGCAACCGATAATGGCATCCAATACGTTGAAACTCGCAAAGGACAAAAAGCTCCAAAGAAGACGTCGAATAAATTTCAACCGATTCTGGTGCTACCCAACACTGACCCGACCATGGCGACTCTGTTTGCGGCGCTTAACAAAACCAACGCATTGATCTACCAACAAAATGAAAGGATTGGAGCATTGGAGAAGGACCGTCATTCACGCTCTCCCCCGCGAAGACACCAACGATATGAGTCCCGAAGCCAGTCGCTGCAACGACTAGGCCTTCGCCCGCCATTATAGAAGATGCATCCCTTGATGGTCAAGAAGCACAATTGTACTCCTCCCCGCAAGGACCAACTCTCCCGATTGCCAAGAAAAAGAAAGGTCAGTCGACGACCAGATAAAAGTCGTTTGCCTCCGTACAAATCAAAGGGGCGACCAAAGAACTCACTGCCACGCCACGATGATAGCCCTCGGCAAGAGACGTACGACCACTCTCCAACATGATCGCCAGTTTGGAGTGACGAAGACGATCCCCGCGGGCCATTATATCGAGCAATCATGGATGTTCCCCTTTCCGTCGGGCTAGAAAAACCACTGAACTTAAGAATATACAATAGAACAACGGACCCCACGAGCACATTGAAAACATCGATGCTCTACTCAATTATCGCAATGTCAAAGGTGTAATCTTGTTACCCATTACTCTGAGGAAGGTTGCCATGACGTGGTACAAAAGTCTCACCGACAAATTTGTCACTTCCTGGAGAGACCTAGCAAAGTAGTTTTCAAGGCACTTCACCACTTCTCATCGCCATCCAAAGTCCTAGGTGACGCTTAAAGCGATCATGCAAGGGAAAGACGAATCCCTCCGAGCCTACATCGAGAGGTTTTATCGAGAAGCCGTCTAGGTCTCCATGACCAATGACATGAAGAAGTATTTCCTCGAGCGGGGGCGCAGTGACTTTGCCAAAGTAGTTGGCATTGAAATGCTGGTGTGATACGATGGGGGAACTGACTTGGATGTTTTGCGTTTTATCGCAATTGTTGCGGATAGCAAGAGTCGCCACTGACTTTTCTTTTATCCAAATAAGGAAAGGGTGAAAAGAACAGGAAAGACCTTTTGAGAATTTTCTTGAGTTCGGGGGGTAAGTTATGAAAAGAGAAGGTGTTAGCACCCTTTTCATCCGTAGTTATCTACGGACTCTTAGTTGCTAGCTCACTTTGAAATGCTTTGTTTGAAATATGTTTGTGATGTATTGTACCCCAAAATTTGCCCTCCCATTTTACTCAAGGCATGCTCTTAGAGATTCCCAATTGCTCAAAGGTTAACCAAGAATTGATCAGACAAATTCTCCTCCTAAGCAATGAACCTCTAATTAGGGTTTCACTTTTCACCATGATGTGGGAGCTCCAAAGGTCTCAAATGTTTTCCATGGACCTAATATGCCTTCAAGGTTGTCCATGACAAATTTCATGCCTTACACTACAAGTTTGCTCAGTCAATTGCTCAAATGCTGGAAAATTATTTGTACTAGGTCAAAAGTCAATTGTGGCCAATGTACAGTCAAACTTCAAGATTTTTGGTCAACATCAACATTTTGAAGTGATATCCATCATTTGATCAAGGGTTTATCATGATTCCTCAAGAAATGCTCCTAATCTATCAAAAGTCAAGAATTGCTAAATTAGGGTTTCTATAAGAAAAGTCATATGAATTTTGACCAGGCATAACTTTCACATACATCATCCATTTTTTCCAAACCAAAGCTCATTTTGAAGAGAATCCAATTCCCTACAACTTATCTTTTATCCTCAAGTTCAAGAAATGCATCATTTGGAAGACACAAGCTCATACATTACAACTTCCAATATAGATGGAGGTTATCACAACTTCTTGAAAGAGGTTCAAATTCAAAACAAATGTTTAAGACAAAAAACCATAGCATGAGTCGACACATATCCACATGAGTCGACTCATTATAGTGACAAAACAGGGTACGAGTCGACACATGGCCTTATGCATCGACTCATATTGTTATCGAGCCCCAAAACAGAAAGATGAAGAGTGCATAAGTCGACGCACACACATATGGGTCGACGCAAACAGGGTATGAGTCGACACAAAGCCTTATGTGTCGATAGGTACTGTTATCCAGGATCCAAAATAGAGGGAGGAAAAGTGCATGAGTCGACACATCTCATTATGCATCGACTCATGTTGAGCTGATTTTGTTTTTACATGAGCAAGAAAGAGTTATGTGTCGATACATAGCAACATTGTGTCGATACATAGCAGTTCAAAACACACATTTTCTTCCTGTTTACATTGCCTTTACAATTTTCACAGATTTGCTTCATTATTTACCAACCATTCAATGTGGGCTGATGTTTGGATTTGTTTTAAGGCCCAATTTTCATGCAGGATACATTAGAGAGGACCAGGTTCATGCAAAGACCAAAATGGAAAAGAGAATCATCCAAAATGGCATGTTTTCTTCATTTTTGGCAATTTTTAAAATAAGGATCATGGCTTTATCATGGCCTTTATGCTACTGATTCTTTCCATGTTTCCTTTCCCTCTCCACCTCCTCTATATATACATCACTTCCACAAGTTTAAGGGATGGATATAGACAGCCTAAAAAAAGTTCCACAAATCTCCAAAATCGTGAAAATCCAAAACAATAGTTCCAAGCTTCCTCGTGCCAAACAAACATCACCACTCCATCCCTGAGGTTCCCAGGAAGCCATACCATCTCTTATACACGCCTGAAGAGCCCTGAGATTAGCCAACCAAATCTCCATTTTAGGCATAGTCCAGATCTTGATGTAAACTGAATAATCCAGGCATGATCTGTTAAAACTAAGGACAGATTTGAGTCCAGGAGGCGATTTTATGTGGAATAGGCCTTTGATTCTGGGTTTAAAGCCTTTAAAATCATGAATCTCATTTTCATATGCCCGAAGAAGATGACCGGAGGTCTCCTCCGGTGTCGTTGATACGTTGACTCCGTTTGGGAGCAGGCATGGCAGTTTTGTGTTACTTGATTGGTTCTTTTGAATTTCATAATGCGCGCGTTTTAATTTTAAGTATTCTAACCCATTTTCATATATAACATTTTGGCTTTATTTGTATTAACAATTGACACGATGGTTCAGTTGGTAAAGGGAACGAGTGTGAAAGGGAGAGACCTGGGTTTGATACCCAGGTCTGGATTTTTATTTTTTCTAACAAAACTCTTGTAGATCCAGCATAACACTCCTCAACATGCCTATCATACACCCTTCAATTCCCACCGTTAGAACTGTATATATCTGATCCAAGGCGCCTCAACCTGCAACCCACGATGCACTTCCTGAAGTTCACCATAGAGGATCCAGCGCAATTAGAGAGGATACATTAGAGAGGACCAGGTTCATGCATGATACATTAGAGAGGACCAGGTTCATGCAAAGACCAAAATGGAAAAGAGAATCATCCAAAATGGCATGTTTTCTTCATTTTTGGCAATTTTTTAAAACAAGGATCATGGCTTTATCATGGCCTTTATGCTACTGATTCTTTCCATGTTTCCTTTCCCTCTCCACCTCCTCTATATATACATCACTTCCACAAGTCTAAGGGACGGATATAGACAGCCTAAAAAAAGTTCCACAAATTTGAATAATACTATGATCACTGCTCTATGCGAGCAGTTCAAGATTTATCATCACAATTTATCTCCCTACCGGCCGAAGATGAACGGTGTTGTTGAAGCCGCGAACAAAAATATTAAGAAGATCATTCAAAAGATGACAGTCACCTACAAGGACTGGCATGAGATGTTACCGTTTGTTCTGCATGGATATCGTACCACGACACGTACTTCAACAGGGGCAACTCCATTTTCTTTGGTATATGGCATGGAAGCCGTTCTGCCTATGGAAGTTCAGATTCCTTCCTTGAGGATTATGAAGGATGCC